TTAATACTTTAACATTTCAAGTGGAATAAAGAAAACTCACTACTCCATAGGTTCCTTTATCCTTCCTCATTTATGTTGTAATTGTCCTATATGTCAAGATACATTAAAAGCCCCACTAGAAGATATTTACGTTTTAAGTTTTGCTTTTATACATATTTGCTGTCAACTTATCTTAAGGAACTTAAGGGTGTAAAAATAATCTATTTACCCAAATAAGTACCACTTCTCTTGTTCTTTATTGATTCCTGACTTTTTAAATTTTCTATTTCCTTTCCACCTAATAAGCTTCATTTGGCATTTATTTCTTTTAGAACAGGTCTGCTGGTAACAAATTCTCTTAGTTTTCTTTCATCTAAAAATATCTTTATTTTTCTCCTTAATTCCTGAAAGACATTTTTGTCTAGAAATAGAACTCTAGGTTAACATTTCTTTTCTTTCAGTATTTAATATTACTTCATTGCCTTTTGTCATCTATGGCTACTGATGAGAAATCTGCCATCACTTGAATCATTGTTCTCTATATATGATATGTCATTTTTCTCTGGGTGCTTTCCAGTTTTTTTCCCTTTGGTTTTCAGTAGTTTATGAATTTCTTTGCAATCATCTTGTTTGGAGTTTGCTGAGTTTCATGACCCCATAAGTTTATACATTTTCCAAATATGGGAAGTTTCTAACCATTAATTATTCTAATATTTTTTCCACATGATACTCTTTTTCCTCTCCTCTTGAGAATTCAGTGACATGAATGCTAGACCTTTTGGTATCATCCCACAGGTCTCTAAGACTTGGTTTAATTTTTTTTAAAGATTTATTCATTTATTTTTTAGAGAGGAAGAGAGGGAGAGGGAGAGAGAGAGCATGGGGGTAGAGGGAGAGGGAGAAAGAGTCTCAAGCAGATGCTGTGCTGAGCACAGAGCCTGACATGGGGCCCAAACTCATGACCCTGAGATCAGACCTGAACTGAAACTAGAGTTGGATACTTGACCAACTGCACCCTCCAGGTGCCCCAGACTTGGTTCAATTTTGACAATTTTTTCTATTGTTTAGATTGGAAATTTTCTATTGATGTAACTCCAGTTTTATTGACTGTTTCCTCTGTCATATCATCTCCATTTTGCTATTGAGCACATCTAATAAGTTTTCAATGCAGTTATTCTATTTATATTCTAAAATATCTGGTTTTGATTCTTTAAAATAGTTTTAAGCATTCTTGTTCTTGAGGATTGTTTCATTGAATGTATATAATTTTAGGTTGAAAATAATTTTATTTCAGTTATTTGAGTATTTTACTATCTTCTGACTTTCACTGGTCTTAATTATTTTATTGCCTTGCTTGTAATTTGTCTTTTCTGTCTGGATAATTTTAATATCTCATTAGTCTTTGACTAACATGCAATTTGTGACCATGCAATTTGATTATTTTGTTCTAAGTGGGTTTTATTTTTTACCATATCAATTTTTGGACTGAGGATTGATATCTTTCTTTAAGTCTGAAAAATTCTCAGTTATTTCCCATCTCTCTAGTCTTTCATTTTGGAATGCTGATTAGATATATGTTGGATCTTCTCTTTTCCATTCTCTCTTTTCTCTCCCTTTTCTTTTTTCTTGTTTTCCATTTATTTTTCTCTCAGTCTTTTATCTTGTTTATTTTCTTCTTATCTAATTTCCAATGCATTAGTTATCTTTGTTGGATCCAATCTTCAATTTAAGCTGTCCATTGAATTTTACATTTCAATTTTCATTAGTTTTACCTAAGCTTATTACATAAAATGTAATATTTTAACATTTATTTTTACATATTAAAATTTTTGAAATACATTCAGACACAGAAAATGGACAGAAAATGGACTGAATAGAAAAATACATGGCTGGAAGATTTGTGACAAAGCAGAAGTCTGTGTAATGACCTTAGAGATTTCGAAACAGAATATCATCAGAACTCCCAAATGCCACCCATGCTCTCTCCCAGTCACTATTGTTTTTCCTTTCCAGGATAACCACTATCCTAAATTTTATAGTAATGACTTTCTTGCTTTTAGTTTTACTAATTGTCTTGCCATTTGGCAGATTCCTTTTTCCCTATGTTTTCCACTTATTTAAATCTATTAAAGATATTTTATATTTTGTCAACTCCAATACCTGATGTCCTTGCAGGAATGATTCTACTCTTTATTGTTTCTGCTGACTCCCATGGCATCTTGTTTCTTTGTGGGTTTTGTTATTTTTTACTGTGAGCTCAATTTTGTCAGAATGTTATCTGTGGGAAATTTTCAAAGCTTGACTTGAGGGTTTATTTCTCCAGAAATTATTGTGTTTACTTCTGCTTGGTGCTAGCCTTAATGGTTTCTGAACTACACAGGTCCTGGGAATCTGGGCCCCAAAGTCCATGTGGGTTGGTTTCTGATCACAAATTCTTTTTTTTTTAAAATTAACATATAATGTATTATTTGTTTCAGGGGTATAGGTCTGTGATTCAACAGTCTTACACAATTCACAGTGCTCACCATAGCACATACCCTCCCCAATGTCCATCACCCAGCCACCCCATCCCTCTCACCCCCCTCCACTCTAGCAACCCTCAGTTTGTTTCCTGAGATTAAGAGTCTCTTATGGTTTGTCTCCCTCTCTGGTTTTGTCTTGTCTCATTTTCTCTCCCTTCCCCTATGATCCTCTGTCTTGTTTCTCAAATTCCTCATATCAGTGAGATCATATGATAATTGTCTTTCTCTGATTGACTTATTTCGTTTAGCATAATACCCTCTAGTTCCATCCATGTCGTTGCAAATGGCAAGATTTTTTTTGATGGATGCATAATATTTCATTACA